ATGATGAGGATGATGATGATGATGACGACGAGGTTGATGATGAGGAGGAGGATGACGACGATGACGACGAGGATAATGATGATGATGATGATGACGATGATGGTGATGATGATGACGATGATGATAGTGATGATGTCGTTGAATGTAGGCTCGTACTTAGGAAATTGGCACTATTGTATATGACAGCATAACCTAACATTGCAAAATAAACAAACAATAACAATCGTACGAACGAACAAACATACAAACATACATACAAACAAACATACATACAAACAAACATACATACATACATACAAACATACAAACAAACGAACATACACATTTACATACAAACAAACATACATACAAACAAACATACAAACATACATACATACATACAAACAAACAAACATCATCATCAACAAAACTTTGTCTTGTTTTTATTTTCTTCCTAACGACTTTAGCGTCAGCTTATAAATCATCATCATCGTCGTCGTCTTCATCATCATCATCATCATCCTCGCTGTCATCATCACTGCAGTTGTTACCTTTATTAATATTTCGGAAGTCATTTATTATATAGTGATTTTTGAGGTTAGCGTAATATGCTTTCCTGTTGTTGTTGTTGATGACGTCATTATCGTCGTCGTCGTTGTTGTTGTTGATGTTGTTGTTGTTGTTGATAAATTTGTTGCTAACGAAACTGACGTACTTGTCAATGTTGATGTTGTTGTTGTTGTTAATGATGTCATAGCCGTTGTTGTTAATGTTGTTGTTGTAATGTTTGTTTAGGCTGTTGTTGATTATATAATCTTTATTATTGTTGATGACGTAATTGATGTTGTTGTTGTTGTTGTCTGTGATTATTTCGTTGTTGTTTTTTAGTAACTTGTTATATTCTGTTTAGTAATAATTTTTCAATATTTACAACAAATTGTATATTTAGAAATTTAAATTTTATAGCATCAATTATGGTTGGGTATATAAAAGGCTTTTGTTATTATGTCTGTTTGTATCTATCTAATGAATTTCATTTTGTTTTTCACTCTCTCTATCTCTCTTTCTCTCTTTCTCTCTTTCTCTCTTTCTCTCTCTCTCTCTCTCTCTCTCTCTCTCTCTCTCTCTCTCTCTCTCTCTCTCTCTCTCTCTCTCTCTCTCTCTCTCTTACACAAGACTAATCATTTACTAATTTATTCAATCAAAAAATCAACCAGCCAGTCAATCAAATAACTAAACAATCAAACAACCAATCAATCGTTCAAGCAACCACAAATTAGATTAGAATTCTTCTCAATTCCGACCGTAAATTTGAACACAGGCACATCCCTGGCCGACTTTATTTCTGGCACAGCACCGATAAATCCCAAAATCACCCAGCTGCACACTTTTTATTGACAAGCGCATAGTAAAAGAATCACCTGATTGGTCAAATAACTCTGACGTCATTCTGCTTTCTGACGATGGAATTGCCTGGAGGAATTTTATTGTGCTTTACAATGAAAGAAATTTATGACAAATGAACGTATGGATGATTGGTTGGTTGGCTGGCTGGTTGGCTGGCTGGTTGGTTGATTGATTGGTTAATTTGTTGGGTAGTGTAATGAATGAATGTATGGATGAATGAATGAATGAATAAATGAATGAATGAATAAATGAATAAATGTGTATATGGATTAAAAATTAAATTAAAGATCGGATTAATGAACTAACAGACAAACTAACAAGAACAAATGAATGATTGAATGAACGAATAAATGAATTGAAAGACGATGGATTGTAGAATGAACAGACAGACAAATGAATGAAGGAACAAACGAACGAACGAATGAATGAAATGACTGACTGATAGGGTAATCAGACATGATTAATTCTCGATATGAGGAAAGATTTTTTTAAAGAAAAAAGTTGTCGGAGAATAAAAAATGTAGGGCTGTTGTTGCGGCGTGATGTAAAAATGAAGAAAAGAACATTTTTTGAATGAAAAAAAATGAAAAAAAAAAACAATTGAGAGAGAGAGTTGAGAATTGAAAGAAAAAGTTAGAAAACAATAATTTTAAAGAAGCCAATCAAAGAACACACACACGCTCACACGCCCACACGCCCACACACACCCACACGCCCACACACATCCACAAACGCACACAAACGCTTATACACACACACACAAACACCCACACACCCACACACGCACACACGCGCACACAAAAAAATAAACAATCCATGCAACATCAACGTCATCCTCACGACCTACATTCTGACCAATGGGATTAATCCAGGTCACATTGGCATAGGGATATGCAATCACGTGACAGTCCATGATAACCTCTCTGTTGAGAGTCTGGCCCAATTTTTTTATTGCGGGTGTAACATAGGGCCGATCTTTGATAGGGGTGTACGGATAGATTGGTGGGGGATATATATATATATATATATATTATAAAGAGATGCACAGACATGTGCGTGTGTGTGTGTGCGTGTGTGTCTTGTGGGCATGAATGTGTGTTTATATAAAACTTGATGATAAAAACAAACGGTTAAATACTAAACTTGAGCCATGTTACATTTAAAATTAGCAACAACAACAACAACAAAATCAACAAAAACAACATCAACAAAAACAACAACAACAACAACATCAGTAACAACAACATCAGTAACAACAACATCAACAACAACAACAACAACACAAACAACATACATTGGACAGTAATATTAACAGCCTTGTAATCATTTGGCGGTATATCATTGCTGGCCCTGCAAACGTACACCCCAGCATCGCGACGAGAAATATTGCGCAACATCAATACGTTACCTTCTTTTTTCCCGCCAAAATTTTCAAAAAAATTACCCGCCATATTACCGACAGCACCATTGTCGAACATTCTGTCGATTTCTATGTCGGTATTGTTGTCGAGTTTGTCGGTTTTTGTGTAGTAATAACTGTTGTTGTTGTTGGTGGTGGTATTGGATTTGTTCGCGAAGTTTTTTGCTTTAGTAGAATGAAAATCATTTTTGGTATTGTCAACATTTTGGTGTATGTTGTCAACATTTTTGTTAATGTTGTCAACATTTTGGCGAATGTTGTCAACATTTTTGTGAGCTTTGTAAACTTTTTTGCTGATTTCATAAAAATCGTTTTTGATTTTTTGATTGGCTGTTGTTGTTGTTGTTGTTGTTGTTGTTGTTGCGCCATTTGGTCCACTTTTTCCAATGCTACCTTAGTTAAAATTTTTTTTTTCAAATTAAGTTAATCGGCAATCCTCATCGCCTTCGTCGTCATCATCATCGACAAATTTCACCAACATTACCATCGTTATAATCATTTCATCATCCTGATTATTATCACTTCGTCATCGTCGTATGCCAATTAAGAACATTTTGTTAGTTCTATCATCAGTTACATTATAGCCAATGAGCTGCATCGTCAGAGTGTTGTTGTTAATAATGACATCATTATATTCATCATCGTCGTCGTCGTCATCATCATCTTTATAAAGGTCATCATCACCAATGAACCAGACGACAAATTACTTCTTCATTGCTTATAATCATCATCTAATCACCAAAATTGACATCATCATCATCATCATCATCATCATCATCATCATCATCATCATCATCATCATCATCATCATCATCATCATCATCATCATCATCATCA